GGGGGGGGGTCATGCAATGGTTTATATGGTTATAATGCGACAAAATCAGCAAATCCGAGTTAAAACAGCAGGAAAAGAGCTTAAACTTAGGCGGTAGCCCTTAGCGGTTAGCTGTTAGGCAGCACAGTACTACTGGTAAATAACTAACGTTTACTGAGGTTGTTTTTTCTTTATAATGTGTTCAAGAGTCTTAGGCAAAAGTTAATTGTAAAGTTTTCATTATGTGTTCAAATGTGATCTTGTAAAACCTAAATTCAAGGAGATGTTTTAACAGGATTAACATAAATATGCCATTAGAGGGAATTAAGACATGCTCTATGCTGCTTTTAATACATAATTAAAATTACTAAGATTTGAGCAAATGTTCAATAAAATACAATCCTTTATTTCCCAAACCATTAGAATAGTGTTTTTAATGCAAATAACGACTACAGATGAGAGCAAAATAGTGGAAGAAAGTAATTAAGATAGCATTAGAGATGTGGACATTTTCTTTGGATAAAAAAAAAATAAAGAAAGAAATTGGGACGTTGGTGAAAAACCTTAGTCTGGAGCCTTGAATTTAAAAAAAATTCCCCCGTCCTTCATTTCTAACAGCGGTTCTGAGAAAGAGTAATACATCAGTAAACATCCTGGCTCCTGCTTATTGCTAAAACTCAAGCAACATATTAAAATCTAAATGCATGAGAGCAGAGAGGGCATCACCACTTCAATCATAAAATCATAAATCCAGTCAACTGCTCCTGCGACAAAGTGTGCCTGGAAGGATTTTAATAAACCTCTTAATGTACATCAGCTAAAATCTAAATGACAAAAAAGTGAAAAACATAAAACCCCAATGTATGTAATAAACGAAACAGCAACGAAGTTCCACAAATCTCACATCCACGAAAAGTCATGTTAAAAACCTGGAAACCAGCCGCAGTGCTTGCGGTAAGTTGTTTGTTTGCACAGCAGTGACTCACCTGCGGGGCAATGGGTCGGGGCAGTGTGTGAGGGGGCTGCTGGGGGTGGGGGTCGGCTCCCTGCGGCCCCTCAGAGACTGGCTCCTCTGCACCTGCCTCAGCACACTGCTCTTCAGGTCCAGCAGTGTCGTCATGTTCTCTCACTGCCAGAACACACACACAAACACACACCAACTGTCAATTCAATTCCATATGCTTTATTGGCATACAAGTCACAATAATTCAACAGCGTTACAATAAGATTGTAAAGAAAAAGAAGGTTAAATTCCTAAAAATCAAGAAAATGGCATTAACCCACGCTCTGTTTGTGTGAAACTGGGAAAAAGTGTGTATGTATATATATGTGTGTGTGTGTGTGTGTGTGTGTGTGTGTGTGTGTGTGTGTACCTGGACAGTGAATCTGGTTGCTTTGTACTTTAACATTAAATCTCAGTTTTTCTAAGAGCAAGACATTATTCAAAAGTAAAACATTTACTAAAACATTTGTAGAGTTATAACAAAATCGTATTTGAAGCAATCTTGTTATTTAAGCTAATTTGAATAATTACATGTTCAATAAAACTAATAACGTATAGGACGTTTTTTTCTTTTTATTCAGGATATATTTTTATTATATTGGCAGGCATTTTATTTCCAAGAGCCGGATATTTAGTGCATAATGAAGTGTCACTCTGGTGCGGCTCATAATTGGCACCGTCTGTATTCCACAACCTCTATGTTAATTTCTTGCTTTGGGATCATATTTATTTTTCAAAGTGTTTGTTTCTGGAAATACAGTTGGCTCAGGGGATCCTTTTAGTCTAATGAGCGGCATAATCACCCACTTTGCTCTTTAAACATAATTATAGTCTTCCTCAGCAGAAGGTGTGTTCTATTTCTGTCAGAGCCTGCTGATGCTAGGCAGTGTGAAATGTATCGTTCACCTTTAGGTCTGGTCAGTTCAGAGTCAATCAACTTGTATTATTGTGATCACACTTTGTACAAAATATACAAATCAAGGATACTCAGAGCTGAGAGCCAGAAGAGCACCATAACAGCAATGTCATAAAACCACTGTATTACTCAAATTAAATGGCAAGGAAATAGAGCCAAGTAAAAGCCTTGTTGCCCTGAATTTGTTGGCAAAAACCATAATTTATAAAAAGAAGACTTGGAATATGTTGCGAACAGATGAAATAAAAACTGAGAATATTACGATTTTTAGTGCCAACAAAAGAAGAGCTTGCAGAGATAGTGTACTTTACTAATGTGGGCTTTGAAGCACAACGTGTAAAGGAAAAGCACATCCAGTAATAATTTCTGTACCTACCTGTACTGAAAAAGCAACATCTATAACTAAATATGTATCAACCGTTACACATGTTGAAAACATGGTAGCTTTGCAATGAATTTAAGGTGTGTTTTTTGTAAAAAGAAAAAGTATCAATTTCCCAATTTTAGGGGAGTGTTTGGACCCATTGGCCAATCATTACATTTAAAGTCAAATCATTTATCAAAATAAATTACCTTAATCAAATCCTTTCCAAGTTGAAGGAATGTTAACTTTTTCAAAAAATGATTTTCATTAATCCACCTGTGCCTTTAGAGGGAATTAGTCTACACAGGCATATTAACTAAAACACATTTGATATGAAATCATGACATTCTAAGACATTTTATAATATCCACGCACTTGAAGAGAAAGGTTTACTTGGTTGTCGTGACTGTAAAATATCAATTTAGATGAATGGCGACCTCACAGAGATTGGAACTGTTGCTAAGCAATTCTCTGGGACTGAGTGGCTCTTCCTCAGAGCCATAAAGTGAACTCTCGTTTTGGCTTCATGGCGTCTTTAAAGTATAACCAAATTTCATGGTCTCATGATAATACTGTGCACCGTCAATGCTCTTTGCAATTGAAGAGCTGAAGAATAAAATACAGTGTTCTGTTTAGGAATATTTAATGAAACTGACTGCATTTCAAAGTTCAAACGAAGAGAAAGTTACAGTTTCTTTGAAATGTCAACATCAATTGCTTTTTATCCTCTTAATATTTGTTCCTCAAAAGTCAGACATTGGACTTCATCATGTGTCTGAGGAGGAGTATACGCTTTATAGGAGTTAATCCTTTTCATCTCAAATGAAGGTCGCGCGTCTATAAATACCTGCAGTTCAATATGGTAGTCGGTCACTAAACCCCCACTGGAACAGAGATTCATTTATTGGCTTCCACATGTTCAGGAGAACATTTGAAGCCAATGTTGCCGCAAGACTTTTAACAGTGCAGGCTACGTTTCACATCACTATTCATTACAAGTCAAAAAGCATGAAAATGATCTGATTGCTAGGTCGTTAATGGCATGAATGTCAGTAGTTCTTACAGCAAAACACTCGCACATCTGCCTAGCAACTGAGGTAGAGTGTCAAATCAAGACTCTCCTTAATCAGCATCCAATCGCAGGTTGACTGTGATGTGATCTTTGGATGCCTGAGAGTGTTTAGAGAGCTTCCAACAGGCAACGTGCTGATGAACAGCAGTGAGGAAAGAAGAGACTCAAAGGAAGAGGAATGACGAGGACACAAGAGAGAGGCTTTGATTGATCGACAGGCTGTTTCAGAAGACAGTCAGAATGATTCAGACAGTCAGACACTCTTTTCAGTGTTTGACGTCAACGTGAAAAAGAAGCAATGAACCACGGTCGCTGGAAACTTGTTCTGATTTTCCAGCCAACAAAAGACACAATAGTCCTCCTATTGGCTGAGGTGATTGAAAGTGTGCTATCGATCCAGGAGGCTGCCACCTGTTACCCACTTGGAGAATCCACACTTTACTCTATTCGACTGAAGTGTCTCCGTCAGATACCATCAATGTGTTATTTCCAAGTGAGAAACGCTGGGAATCTTCTCCATTTCCACTTCAGAAAGGAGTTTTCAAACTGACAGACTATGGGAACGTACTATTTTCAATCAAAAGGGTTTGGATGTTTTAAACATGCAGCTCTCTTGTCAACACAACAACATGAAGCAACTGCAAAGCTGCTGTATGATGGATTTATATTTGGGAGTTTTTTTTTATGTCACTGCCAAACGCTATGAGGAAGCTCAACATTCAGTTATGAAACTGAAATCAAGCATAATAGGGCCCCTTTAATTTGGTGGTGATTTGAATTTAGTAGTTTTATTTCTTATCTATACTACATGTATGATAAAAGTTGCCGACGTCCAGGTTCGTTTATGTGCATTTGGCCACTGACCATCAGAAGCAATGGGAGGAAGTATTACCAAAAGGTATTACTATTTAAGGGTGCAGCTGAAATACCTCAGGCATGTTTTCTCGCAGTGTCCAAACAAACCTGCTCAGGCATCACATCATATCCACTACATGCAGGCTGGTAAGCATGGCCTGCTGACAGCTAGCAGGCAGCGCAGAGCAGCTGTCTCCCTGGTGAACTCATTTCAATTACGGGAGTGGATCTCTCCCAACTGGATTTCACTCCGTCTCAGCCGACAGCCCACAGTGACAAAACAGGTCGACGCGCCACCGCCGGGGGGGCACCGGCTGCCAAGGAAACACTATCAAAGCCAGGTAAATGCCTTTCTCGCTACATTGGTGTCGAAGTCGTGCCAGGGAAACACTTGCTCACCAGCGTCTCTCTCCTGTGAGAGCCAATGAGGCCGGCAGCCAAAGGTGCCTGGCTGATAGGGATGGAGTGTCTCTATGGTAACAGCAGAGGAAAGGGAGCTGGTAAATACAGGTGAATGGAATTCTACAAAGTCTGAAAAAAAAGCCCCTTGGTGTTATAATTAGGGCTACACAATGTGTCTCTTCAGCAGCGACATTGCAATGTGCAAGTCACATCGCAGGACGCGTAATGTAAAGTCAGGGAGATTAACTCAAACATGTCATGCTACAACTTTGCTGCTTGATAAAGAAAGAATTGATTTCCCCTGATTTACAAGAGAATTCTGTCCGAAAGCCATTTACTCCAATTTGAGGCTTTAGTTACACAGTCTGTTGCTAGTGAGCAGCACAAAGGCTCTGCATGCACACAAAACCACCTTCACACACATTATCGATTCATTTATCAAACCACCAGAAAGCATGCCTTGCTGACCACAGCCTGAAAATGTGTGAGGAACAGGAACAGATACAGTAAATAAATAATTGGTTGCAAAAAGATTCGAGTGTCAGTTGCACACAAATATTAAGGCTATGAAAGGATGATGTTCACCTTAAAGGGGGTTGTTAATATGGTAAAAAAAAAAAACTGTTAGTTTAAAAAGCAGAGACAAAAACAATCACAATGTGCGTGGAACAGGAGGAAAAAACGAAATAAAAATATGGTTGCAAAAAGAGTCCTGTGTCAGTTGCCTGAACATATTGTGGCTGCAGAAAGGATAATGTTGGACCAAAAATGGGTACATTGTTATGGTGAAATTCATTTAATTTTTCAAAATCCCAAGTAAAACCATCACAATTTCGTTTTTTTCCAATACCGTTCATCCTAAGATTTATGCCTGACAGAAGAAGATGAAGATAGTGAACCCTAGTGTCAATCGGTCCAGAGGCATGGGTTATTTTTAAATGTGGCTCCTGACTACTGTCCTAACTTCACATACACCTCAGTGTGATGTTTCCAGCATACACATCAGAAAAAAGCAAGATACCCTATAGCAAGTCTGTACAGGAGCCAGGTTCAGGTCTGACCATCATTAGCAGCTTCAAACAGACGCTTCAAGATTAGACCTTGTGCCGTTTTCACTAACGCACCTTTCTCGGTCATTAGTCTCTTGTTGATGAGCGCTTCTCCAAGAGTCTGTTCGAGTGTGAAAGCTTCATCCTTTGGAGTGTTATTGAGTGGTCAAATGGGGCGGGGGGGGGACAGAGAGAAAGAGACTGAAAAAGACAGAGGGAGAAGGACTGGGGATTTTTTCAACAAAGTCTTTGTTTTATAATCAAGTAATTAAGAGCATCCATTTAATTCATTACATTCCTCCTGCGTCGCAATGATGAAAAGGGAAACATTAATTGTCTCGTTGAATACAAGCACATTCTGAACCACATCAGCCTGAGGTGGTACACATTCAAATCCTAACTGTAAGTAGATTATTCGGTAGCGCTGATAATGTTAAAAGGCAAGGCTATTACAACCTTTACAACAGGAGCAAGGGCCTCATCATTGGCCATCAGTGTTATTATGTGAGGGGGCCTTAGGGACAGTCGAGATGAATGGATCACGCTGCAAGTTCTGTGTCAAATCTTTATCAACCCTACTGTTGATTGGATGAGGAAAAGTGTGGACAAGACTGATCTGTACCTGTATGCATGCACATAATCTATAACCCCCCTGCAATTCCCCAAAGCTCACAATGTCTAAATTGTCAAGGCACATGACGGCACTTTGGCTTGGCCATTGATTGCCTGAGAAAACCCCAGGAACTGACACTTGTGAGATAAAAAAAATCACTGACAGCCGCGCACAAAATGTAAGAAACTTAAAAAATTACACAAATCACTGCTTATTGTACCACAGATAATGCATCCTTTGTCTCTCTGGAAGACACTGACTCCAGCAATAACTGCTGTCAAAAATAGAAGCCATTGACTCTTTATGCAATCATTTCCAAATTCCATTTTTTACACAATAACATCAATCTGCATCTACAAGGCACTTTGTTACAACACAAGTGATGAAGACATGGAACGGCTAACACACTATAATTAACACGTACTTCAGAACACTACAACTGCAGCGTAACCTCTTCACGATGTCTCTTCAAATGTGTGGAAAAAGGAAACACTGGGGAAGCGAAGGCAGGTTTCTTTTAACGATTGCTGTTATATTAAGAGGAACGGATTAATGAATGACTAATGGACTCATGATAATGAGTCTAAAGTGGAGTTATGACCTGCACCAGCTTCTTAAGAAAAGAGGAGTCACTTTTTTTCTGCACATGCCCAAAACAGCATCTGTTCTATTAGAGTGAAGCTTCACGCAGTTGGTGAACAGTGAAATGCAATGCTTTTTATCACCCTTTTAATCTGCTGCACAGACCTCCGAGGAGGTAAATTACTGGCTCAGAATTGCTGTGATTGGGGGAAAATATAATGTGTGTGTGTGTGTGTGTGAGTTCATGTATTTTTGTGTGTGAGAGAGACAGCTCACTCCACAAAGCATCTCCAAAGCGCACAATTGATTTATACACAGTATGAAGCTCAGCGAGCATCATGTGTCAGCTGATGAAGGGTTTAACATCACATAAAGATCAAAAGGTCTAAATCAGCCTTTACAGTATATGCATGACACCTTTTATTTAATCGACATCCAGATACCAGAATGAAACACATCCTCTAACGCACTTTTTGGAAAAAAGTGCATTCAGTGATAAATAATGTCTTCAATGCCAACTGCATGCTTTATCTGATGTGATGCTGCACCTTAATGTGTGTGTGTGTGTGTGTGTGTGTGTGTGTGTTGATTCTTGATGGGTGTGCGTCATTAGCTCTTGCAGTGTAATAGATAAGGCCTACATTACAGGAAAGCATTTTTATAACAGCAAACAATGGCAAAACAATCACTAAATCAACTGTAATCAAAGCTTTTGCATTTGACAAAAATGCAACACGTTTGGTAGCCAATAGAAAGCCTATATTGTGCAAAGTGTCACTGAAATGCACTTTCAGAATGAGTTAAGGTTAAGAAATGGTGTTAAACATCTGTATGTATGATGAACAGAAAGTGGAACCTCTGGCCATAAGGCAAGACAAGGGGCAGCATTAATAATCTTTTTACAGATAAATGACGAGGACAGATGCAGATAAGAGCTCAGGAGCTTCATTACAAGTCAAACATCATCCATACACTGATATTATTTGGGTATAAACGGAACTTTTCAAAAAAGGCAAATTTCAAATCCTTTTTCAACAACAGGGAATTCAGATCAACAAGTGTTAATAAACCAACATGCTAAAAGTCCGTCAATCAGTTGCATGTTTTTCTTTTATTATTTTTAAACCAAGACAGGTATTTTTCTAACCTCAAATAATACAAATCCAGCTCACCTGTGTCTTCTGACAGTTTTCCAGTGTCAAATGTTTGTTTTTTTGCGGCTGCGTGTGTCAAGAGTTGTTGAGATCACTGCAGCAGGAAGCTGTTTTCTTCTGAGGAGAAATCAACTTCGGTGAAAACAACGTTTGGATATTTTTCTAGCAATAGACGACAGACAAAAGCCCATTTTAGTCCTTCGAAATGCTTCCTGAGCTCACGCTCCACCGATGCTCATCCAAATATGGCTAAAGGAAGTGCAGCAACACTTCAATGCGCTCGATTAGTGTCGGAAATATCGCAATAATGAGTTGACCGCGCGACACACGGTGGAGGCTAAATGCCACAGGGGGAAATGTGATTTATAAAGATAATCCTTAGTTGTGACGTGAAGGGGAGGAGTTGTGAGGGGAAATGATTGTTCAAGCCAGATTTTAGAATACTTGTGAAGTCTGATGCACACTTGTTGCTGTTCTTACACTTGTGAAAATGCAGTTGGGGCTGTTTCTAAATTCTCCAAATGAAAAAAGCCTGTTTTAACTGAACTAATGTTACCTATGTCAATTATATGTTATAAAAAGTAAAAGAAAATGCATAAAGCAAATGTATATTTTATGGTTAATTTAACCAGATCACCAAACATAGATGAAACTTGCAATATTTGCTTCAATTTGTTCGAATCAAATATCATCAACATAACACTACAGCTTTTTCACTCTTCACGTTAGTTAGTGCCGTTGTTTATTACTTCTGACCAAAGGACCCTGAATGGAGAGAAAAGTAGGAGTTTACGAAGTGCACATGAAGGCATCACTTGACTGTTGCTGAGGGATGTCTCCAAGAAAAATCCCCGGAGCGACGCAGGGAGCAGGTTCAGCTGTCACTCAGACTGAGATCCGTGTACCTTTACTTTGTTCTGCCTAATGAGCTCATCCAGAGCTTTGATACGATCTAAATATGTTAATGTACTACTCAGGAGACCAAGAAAGCGATCTAAGACTGCACATCATTCACACAAGGTCTCAGTTTATGTCCTTAAAAGAAAAGGAACATCTAAATATGCCAACTTTGTGTCATGTTTAATCATGTCAATTGTAGATTTAGTGTATGGTCTTGTTATTGACAAGGATTGATATATATATAAAGAAATAGAGTCTCACTTTTGTATGTGTCCAACATGAATGCAAAGGGAGCCAAAAAAGGGAAAAAGGCCCAAAATGGGATAGAAACATTTGACATTCAAAATTCTCCTCATGTTAGATTGGCCATTGAGATATGCATCACTACATTGAACCCTTGTCGTACTAAGTATATAAATAACAGATATAAAACCTAATTTATTGCATCAAATTGACTCCAATATGTTCAGTGTCAGAGCTTCATTGAAAACCACTTTTAATATTTAGAGCACATGCAAACCAAGGCTGAGAAGATAATTAACATCTCTTGGAAGCCCTTGTATCGTAGCACACACGTCAGACATTTTTCTCACTCCTCTGTTTGCACATAAGCACACATGATCTTAAGGGCACGTGCACATGATGCTTAACAGTAACACAGGAACATTAATTATATGCTTGTAGGTGCCATAAGCAGAGAAATCATTTCTTACATGGCCATTATCGCCAAAGCTGCAGTCAGGCAGTCATATTTTTATAGTGTAGCGATAATTCACAAGTGGAGCCCATCATCAGCACCAACACAGTCAAAGCATAAAGCAACATCCTACAATTAGAGAGATTCATTATCACTGTTTACCAATAATCAACAATGGAGCCAATCCTGCACTGAAAAAACTGAGACGTTGACCGTAATTAAATGTAATATGTCAACAAATGTCACAGTATTAGGTTAGTTGCAATAATATTAAGTTGAACCTAATATTTATTATTGTTTTGCTTTCAATGAGTAATGAGGAACCAATTAAATCAGCCCAGGTATCTACAATGAAATATAATCTCTTATTTGGAAATAATGTGGTATGGCAAATCCCTGCAGAACTTTAAATCCTTTTTGTAGCTACTTCAAATTCCTGTGAACAATCACAACACTTTAGCTGTATGTTGGAAAACATATAGGCATTCAAGAAGATAATAGAGTTAAACGTTCTAAATTAATCTTACATACATTGTTTTTCAGCTCAAAGTTAATGATAATTATGACTCTACCCAACATGATTGGTTAATTACCAATGTTAAGGGCTTGAGTTCTTTGTTTGACAACTCTATTTGGTGTTTCTCACCAATGCATATCGAGAGAGGGAATGTTCCCTTATGTCTGATTGTGAGCGCCCCCTGAGTCGTAAATGAGAGGGAAACAACAAAGCAAACAGACAGATAAGGAGACCCATGTCTGGATCATTACATCAGAGACCGTTTCTAATCCACTGATGAGAAACGATAAAATCTAGACCTCTGATTTTGATATGTTGTGACATATTTTTAATATCCCGGCAAAATTGAACAGAAGGCTTTTCCCGTGTTGAGTGATAAGACACATGTGACCCTCTCGCCTTGTTTCCATGGACACATCATTAGAGAACTTCCCCAGCTGGCTCCAAAAGCTTGTGTTGACGGCAAATAACAAGTGAAAGGTTTAAGAGGAAAGAAAAACTGACTTTCAAGTCCTTCACTACACTGGATTTACTGTAAGTCTGTGATGTATAATTACAGTAGATCTATAGATATAAAATATGTTTATTTTTTGATAATTTATTTATTTAGTACTTTGATGCACTTGATCCTCTAAAAGCAATGTCAAGTCACTGCACTTTCTTCCGTCAAATCACACACATCTTCAATGTTCATCTGTTCAAAGGTCATTCAGACACCACTCATTAGTCTTACTGCTGTGACTTGTGAAGAGGAAAGTGAGTCTTTCTTATTTTATTTTCTTCTCTCCAAATGAGACGTTTGAAACCTGGCAGGGTAGAGAAATGAGGTGAGTAGATCGTTATTTTGCCTGTGTCAGGTGGAAAAACACTTACTGCTCCTATTATAGATCAACACTGCTGATCCCAACTTTCAAATCAAAGCGCAGCAACACACTTGCAAATTACACAATACAGGCAGCAACAAATGTGCAGTGCTCACACTCAGATTTGACCCAGTTTGCAGTAAGGAACTCGATTTACAAATCTTCAAAAGTAGAAGTGCCGGAAAGACAGAGAGTTTGAGATGCATGAAAATATATTTTCAAGATAACAATAAGTTCTACTATTATAATAAGTTCTACTGCATAGCCCAAAGGAGAACATTAGTTTGGTTTTATAAAAAGTATAAAGAAAGGATGAAATTCAAAATGTGAAAGTGTTTTGAAATATGAACAGATAAGACACATGCCAGCAAAAAATGTCAATGACGTCCACTTCCAAAAGTGTCAATTTGTTCACAGATCATACATTTAGCAAAAATGTCCCTGTTAAAAAACGATTTAACACATGTTCATAGAAAACTACGGAGGCCGAGAGGGACAGACGTTTTACAATGGCCCAAAACACTTTCATTTGGAGAAACGCACTGCAAAATGATGCAAATATAAAAACACAATGCGTCAAAACACATGCATATGAAAAAACATCTTCACCAAATTGATGAAGCATGCGCTGGGTTTACTGAATACAGCATAAACAAAAAAGCTGCAAATACAAAATAGTGCAAATTAAAAAAAAATCACGGGAAGAACTCAAACACAACAGAAATGTGGAGACTAAAAAGAAGGGCCGTATTCATGGAGTCAACATTGCGGGGGACCAAAAATTCAATAAAAATTTGAATACTAATTTCCTGCCACTCTAAAGGAAAATACATAAAAAATCACGAACACATTGGATACTTTAAAACCCGTTAAACCCCATGCCCCTGCGCGCGGGGGCAAAACACAACAATAGTCACGAAACTGTGTCTCAAGTATGGGTGTAGGAAGCATCCTCAATGTGGGTGGGACAATTTGACAGGGGGTGTGGGCGGGCGGGGGACCTAACCTCCTCCAGGGGGGTCCGGGGGCATGCTCCCCCAGGAAGATTTTTTTTTAAATGTTGAAGTTAAAAGCATCAATCAGGTGCACTTTGAGAGCAACATTAGGGACTAAATCTATGGATACATCTCAACAACACCCATGTGAAACAGAACTGAACAGATTTACTTTTTCTTTATGCATATTTTACAAATCACTCCCTTTTTAAACTGTAGTATGAGTTGGAATGATTTCATACCTGTTATTCTGTTATTCTCTTATTTTGTATAACTATAATGATCATATAAAGGTGTGCCTTGGAAATACTTGTTTTGCATCAATGTTGATACAGGGTACTTATTATATGTTATAGTTTGGATTCCTAAAGCTTTTAGTCTACTATCCCATCATTCAAGGGTGGTTTTCACAATAAGTAATGGTTTATTTTTTGCACGGACACTATCATTTACATTTTTTTACTATGTTCAATCTGAATTTACTTTAAAAACATCTATATTGATTCTGACTTTTTCTACATCCAACTCACAGGTTTATCATTGCTTTTAGAAAAAAGATTATTCATTTAACCGTTTTTAGAAGTGAAGATAGAGTCAATTGTTCTGGGAATGTCATTTTCAAACCTGAGACCTGAAAAACAGGCTTGGGGCTTAACTGGTTAAAATGTTTGACCATAATGTCTAATTGTGCATTGTATTACATCGCCCTATTTTATCTAGTTTAGCTTTTCTAGTTTTGTTGTTTGTAATGGCAGAGATTAGGGATGAATAAAGTACAACTATAACCATAATCACATTAAAGCATTTCAATCCATAGAAAGGTCTGTGCCACACAATTTCAGTAGAAACAGGAACACTTTATTGCCCTTTTGTTTTACAGCCACGACTCGCACTAGCTGCTTGCCGCTCATTCAAAATAAAAAAGACCCCCAACTTCCAATTTTGGATGATTTGGGCAAAGTCCAAGCTCCTCCCCTTCCTTTCCTGTACCTTCATTTTCGCCGGCCTGGCTGCTCTCTCTCTAATTGT